GGAAGTACCCATGTGCTACAACATGCTTGTGAGGATCAGAGGACAACTTTCAGAAATTCTCTCCTCCTACCGATACAGGATCTGTCTTCCTTCCACTAGGCTGAGCTGCATAGTCAAGCTTCCTCTAGCCTCACCTCCCATCTTGCTGAGATTAAAGACTTGAGGCACCATATGCTGTTTTAGTACATGAGTTCTGGAGATGGAATTCGGATTATCAGGATTGCACAGCTATCAGTCCTGGGTCTCTCTCTCTCTCTCTCTCTCTCTCTCTCTCTCTCTCTCTCATTGAGACAGGATCTCTCTGTAGCCCTAGCTGGCCTGGAACTCTATATGCAGACCAGGCTGGCCTTAATCTCACAGAGATCCGCCTGCTTCTGCTTCCAAAGTGCTGGGATTAAAGGCATTAGCCACAATGATGATCCCAATTTGTGGTTTTTGAGCCAGGCTCAATTTGATCAACCTCCACAGTGCTGGGCTTACCAGTGTGTGTCACCATGACCCCCCCATCCCACTATACTTTGACACACTCACTGCAGACAGAGCAGTAGGTGTGGAACAGTTACTGTCATTGTGGGCTAATGTAGGAAGCAGACAATTAAAAACATTTTTTTCTGGAAAAAACGAAATAATGAACAATACAGAGAATGAACTCAAAGTTGAGCAAAATTTATTGCCTACAGAGTCTCACTCCAGAGTCAGAGAGTCACTCAATACACAGCACTGAGAACTAAGTGTCAGAACCTGTTCTGGAACCCTAGTTATCAGAAAGGTAAAGACCCGTGTGAGCCAGACGTGGTGGCACATGCCTATAATCCCAGCTACTCAGGAGGCCAAGGCCAGAGGATTTCTAGTTCAAGTTCAAGGTTTGCTCGGGCTATAGAGTGAGTTCAAGGCCAACCTGGGCAAGTTAGTGAGACCCTGTCTCAAAATAAAAAGAGGAGGAGGGGGAGGGGGAGGAGAAGGGGGGAGGAGGAGGGCGGGAGGGCTGAGGATATAGCGCTCTTGTCGAGCCTGTGTGCACAAAGGCCCTGGGTTCAGTCTCAGTGCAGGGGTGGAGGAGAAGGCACTGTCCTGACCACTGGAACTCAGAGTGGAGGAAGGCTGCGGAACATGCCTTGCCGGCGGAGACCAGACAATCCTCCCAGTGCAGAATGCACAGAAGACCCAGGCCTGCCCCTTGCAGGACTGATCAGCACGGGCTCCCAATCCTCTACCCTGGCCCCAGTGGTGTCCGCAAGGTGCCCTGGGGGTGCTAACTGTCCGTTGAGTGGGGGTCCGAGGGGTGGAGCCCTGCCATGGAGTAGGGGGATGGTGCTCGAGCTCAATGGGAGGAGGGCTCCATAAGGAGGTTGAGAGATCCAGCGAGGCCGCTGTCACCCCTGCCCAGCCCTCGGCTCCCACCCACCGCCCCAACCTTTTCCGGGTAAGGTCTGCATCCCGTGCATCCCACCCCGGGCCCCAGGTGCCCACGGGCAGTGCGGCGAGACTCCGCTGCCAGTCCCCCCTCGGCTGGCGCCCACTTGGTCGGCGCCGCTGCATCCTGTGTGTGCCGGGCCCGCCCGCACTGCGCGGAGAGGCGGGGAGCCGCCCAGGGCGTCCGGCGCTCGGCGTGGCCGTGTCCTGGGGACGCGCGCGGCCGGGTGGAATGGCGCGGCTCGCGGGCCCGTAGCGCGGCGTCGGGGGTCGCGGGAACATGGC